GGGGGGGGGGGGGGGGGGGGGGGGGGGGGGGGGGGGGGGGGGGGGGGGGGGGGGGTATGAAAGAAATATGAGGTGTATTGTTATCTTCACCATCAATTCATTTCCTTTTTAAGTTATCATCTGGCATTGGTTGTTGGGAACTTGTTGTATTGATGACATAGAGGGAAGTGAGCAAAAGATTCTATTGGCCGGTATTTGTACCATGCTTTCTGACAATAAATTATCAAAAAAATTTGTTTCTTGTCGCACTGATAGTTCCTTTATTTTGACACTATTAGACTGAAGACTATTTAGTATTAGCATGTACATTAACTTCTTGAGTATGTGCATGTAAATTGTGGGTGATAGTTTTTTCGTTTCTTTTGGGCGAAGTAATTAGCCTGTTTCTGACACAAGTTCCATTGCAATAGGTACTTGTCAGAGAAGAAAGACGAAGCTGCATCTCAGTAGCCTGATTTTGGGCAAAGTAATTATCCTTTTGTGTTCGTGTCATGATTTTCTGAAGGTTGTAATTGACCCATTGATAATCGTTGTGTATGTTATTTGAAAATATGTGAGAAAGCTACTTCAGTAACGCCAAAATGGAATTGGGAATTTTCTCCCGAGAAGCAATAAATATTTTAGACTTTCCAATTCTGAGTAAACAACAAATACAAGAATGCAGTACATGAGTACCTTATAATCCTCGGTAAAGGCGTTGGATATTAAGGTTTAATTACTAAATGTGTAGTTGTATGGAACAGTTGGAATTTGTTAAGATGGAATGGTTGATCACCAGCATTTGTAAACAAGGGATTGCGGTAGTAAGCAATGGACGCTATTTTGAGACGGTTTATATCGAGCATGGCTGAAAAGGAGGGTCATTGTTCCTCGAGTTCAAGTATATGGCTACTGTTAGTGAAGCTTGGATGTGTAATATGGAGGAAAAAAAAAAAAAAAAAAAGGAAAGGAGGTATCTCTAATTTGTACAGGATCCTTCATTGTCATGAGCTCATGAGCTCTGTATAATCATTGGGCAGTGTTCAAAGTTCAGAAACAAGCCTATTCTCGTTTAGTTCCTGGGACAAAAGCTTGTTTTTTACATATACTGGCATACATTTATGTTCTTTTAGAAATGCTACATATGCTTGGTGTTCTAAAGTAGTTTGGTGTTCTAAAGTAGTTTGGTTTTATGACGTCCACCATATCAGTTGAAGAAAGAGTTAGTAATTGAATGGAATAAGAATGCAGTAGTCCTTAACTTATACGTGTTCTTACAGTTTCTCTCCTTCAAAAATTTAGTCTCACATTTTATTATCTTTCCTTCCTTCGTGCAAAATATTCTTTATCTCACATTGTCTTCCTATGTAAATTATAGGCTCAAAAATTTGGTCTCACATTGTCTTCCTATGTAAATTATAGGCTCGAAAATTTGGTCTCACATTTCATTGTCTTTCCTTCTTTCGTGCAAATTATTTGTCTTCCTAGGTAAAGTGATTCTTACTAATTATAGTTAACCAATATGTAATTTAATTTATGATTCTTTATTTAATTCCGGCAAACTTTAATTTAAATTGATACAATTATTAATTATTAATTTTGAAGATTTAATTGACCCATTATTTTATCTAAAAAAAATGAATATACTTTTTGATATATTTTAGAAATTGGATAAAAACTGGCGGGGGACACGTGCACAAAAGAACTGTAGATGACAATCAAGTGAGGCTCATCTCCGGTTCTTTGCATTGTTCTGGTTTAGTCTGTTTGACATTACCCGCCGTTTCTGTTGGCAACTTCACGCTTCTTCTATAAGCTCAATCTTCCTAACAATCTCGCCCTCCCAATCTAGATTTCGAGATAGGAATCCTTCCGTAAATGGAAGAATTGCGATTACGCATCATCATCGTCTTCATAGTGTTCCAGCAGCATTAGCTATGGGTTTGTACAATTTGATTTTGCGGAGGCTGGTGTCTCTGCTGCAGCCATGGCTGCCCGAAGACTCGGACGTTCGGATGAATTGGGGGCTTACTCGTTCCACCATCGTTGCCCACAAACTCCATTTTAACGTTTCGGCTCTCAATGATCTAATTGAGGAGACCGCCATAAGCATGTCCTTCAAAGAGGTGACCATCGACCACTTGAGCGTTGTGGTCACATACTGGCCCTTCCCGGCCTTCGAGATCACAGTACATGACGTCCATGTTACGGTATCTATCAGGTTAGTCAATTGGTGTCGTTGTTTATGGGATGATCTAAATTGTAGATGCTGCTAAATTCATGGTTTCTATCGAGCGTGGGTGGTTACTTCGTATTTACTCTGTGGGGAATTTAACAGGGAGGAGATTTCGAGAGGTAAACGGGAATCCAATATCTTTTCTGAAACTTTGAGGAAGAATCTATCTGCTATCGATCCGGAGGTGATGCCATTTTCTTTTTCCATTTTCGGACAAATTTAGACATTGAATTGTGATGCAAATTTCGTTTTACGTAGTGTGGATACTGACTTTTTGCTCCTTACAAGCTTAGTTTTGACACATCGTCGATCTTAGTCTTCTCTTTAACTAAAACATGTTTAATGGTGAAGAGTATTCTTTGCTTCATTTGGTTGCTTATTGGTTACGAGTTTCTATATGACTTAAGAAGTTTGGATTTCGTGTCATTCAATTTCTATCAAGTTGGGAATAACTTTAGAAGAAATATTAGCGTACGGGCGGGCGAGGTATCCGGTTGAGTTGCTAAAACCAGTTGTTTGATATCCAATCTATTTTCACTTTTATCTTCTTGGGAACAAGGGATTCTATGACTACTCTAAATTTGTTTTTGATTGGCCTGTTTCTGAAAATGATTTAAAAAAAAAAAACAGTTATCCAGGTAAGAAAATATATGAATTTATCCTTTTAATGTAATCTTTACAAATTCAGTATTTCAAGGTTTTGAAAACGTGGATTGAGGTTTTCTGGAAATTTGAACTCTGCATTCTTTTTATCATGAAATGTAATACTCTTTTTGTTCTCTCACTTTATCATTTTTCAAATTTTGGATTCGGCCAAATGCAAAATGTGAATGCTATTTTCATACTTTTCAAAATTGCCGAGGAGTAAAGTTTTCTTAGTTCCTCAATTCAAGACAGTTTTCAAGTTGTGCTATCAAAAATATATTTAAATTTGATCCTCCTTTCTGTTGTATCCCTTTTTCTCGATTACTATTTTTTTAATCATGAACCATCATCTTGAATTTCAAATAGTTTGCTCTTCCATTACTTTTGTTGACCAGAAAAAGTTGTTTACCACTTGAGCCTAGTGCCTCATCCTAGCTATCAGTTCTGAGGTTATTGAATGTGTTTCAGGGTGTTACTTTGCATGATATCATGAAGAGTTTTCTGGACCCACCACCAAGATATCGGTTGAAAATAGCTTCTAGAAATCTACTACTCAATCGTGGTTGTCTACAGATGTATAATATTAACTTGGTACTGGAGTTCCCAATCTTTAACAATGTCTTTGAATGTTCGTTGAGCATAAAGCGCCTAAGTGCCAAATCTGAAAACAGAAATAATGGATGTCTTTATGAGCTCATACATGCAATGTTTAAACCAATAGCACATAGCTGCCTTATCATCACTGCCAATGATCTTGAGATTGTGTTGAAGAGGGAAGCTCAGATCAGTAGAATCTTGAATTTAGAAGTAATATTCAGTTGCTGCAAATTGCATGATCTACAGCTTGTTGACGTGAATCTTAGAATTCCAGAATTAGGTCTTTCAGTTTATCCAGTTGCGGTTTCAATATATTCAGTATTAAATGGAATGTCATCAAAAGAATACAAGTTTGCTCGAAATGGTAGGCAACTATGGAAACTAGCTGCTCGAAGAATTAGCCACATTACTTCATCACCAGGGGTGTCATTACATCATCTTGTCACTATTGTCATGCTGTGGATACAGTATATCAATGCCTATGAACTTTTACTACTATTAACTGGATATCCTGTGGACAATTTGATGAAAAAATTCACTGATAAGATTTCTTGGGACAGAAAACTCTTCAATTCTTTCAAGAAACATTGGATGTCAATCCTGGATATTGAGGAGAAGTTACCAATTGAATTCATTGCACAGGCACGGAAAATAGCACGATATAGAGCCATCAAGAATGTTAAATGTGTAGAAGAGAAAAAGGAAACATTTAGCTTCTTCCAGTTAAAATTATTTTGTCAGATCTTTTCAATGCTTTTATGCATTTGGAAAATGGTTTGCAGTATATTTTGTTTCATAGATGGATACATAGTTAGAATCTTGACTCGACCACAGAAAATTGATGGATGTTTAGAAATTGTATCACAAAATTCAAATTCACAGTTTTGCTTTATGTTGAATATTGGAGAACTGTTAGTGTCTATTTATCCCACGCATGAAATTCAACCTCCGACAATTGAAAACCTCAAATCGAAGTTTGGGATCCCATCCTCCTCCTTAATTTCTTTCCATTTTTCCTTTGATGCACTGTTAGCCATGTACATGGTAGACCTTTGTGAACAGTCTTTGCTCATATCCTGTGATCAATTCAATGTTACTTCCTTACCTTCTGTGGAGGCTTCTGTTAGTAGTGTCCGTTCCAGTGATCTGCTAGGGGAGTATGACGTGAAAACAGAAAATAATCTTAAATCTATTATTTGGGGTGAACCTACTCGGATCTTTCTTCCTTCTGATGGTCGTGAAACAGATATCGCTGACCTTGGTGAAGTTGATTGCAATCCGTTCATAGTTAAATATTTGGAGGGGATGTGGTTGAGATGGAATTCTGTATGCATGAATCTTGAAGAAAGTGGGATCAAGTATTCAGATAATCCTTGGTTTCTTTGTGAAATCAATAGCTCATTGACAGAATCAGTGCGTGAGAACTCAAATAATTCATTATGGAAATGCAATTTGGCTCTAGGTAAGCTGAATTTAGCTTTGGGATATTCATCTCTATTATCAGCATCTTTGCTCCTTCAATCCATGCGACAACGTGCTTATTGTTGGACTGAGGATGAGCAAAGGCCTGAAGTTTCTTTGCATGCACCAACAGTTACTGCAGATGATAGAGAAGTCTGTGTGAATAATAAATATGAGAACTGTGCTAGTCAATTGATGACTCCATTGCTTAAGAAGCTACCACTAAAACACATTCAAGTTGCAATGCACGTAGGTGGTTCTCACATCCAAATGGCACTTGAAAAGGACTTCAATGTTGACTACGTAATCTCAAGTGAGAGAGCTCAAAAGGGTGATTCACTCGTTGCACTTGATATACATGAAGTTGAAATTGCTGTTTGCCCGGCTTCCAATTCTGATTGGATATTTCTAATGGAGGAGTCCTCTGAAGCCGATGATAAAGAAGTGGAATATCTCTCTTTGAAAGAACCTCGTATTTCAACAATTGGTGACGAAAAGTATGCATCTCAAGGATTGGTTTCCTTCTGGTTCTACCTACAAGCTAAAGGGTTAAAAGCATATATAGTAAATTCGGACGAGAAACAACAGAACCAAATATTCATTTTTAATCCAATGCTGATCTTATCACCAATTGTCAGGTATGGCTATTTTCTTAATACTTTCCTATATAAAATTGTGGCGATTCTCTCTCTATAGAGTATGTATTTAATAAGGC